TAGGTAACTTTTCGAGGGCTAGTATGGCGCACCCTAGGTAACTTTTCAAGGGCTACCTAGGGAAACCCTTTATAACTTTTCAAGGGCTACCATGGGGTACTGTTGGTAACGTTTCAAGGGCTACCTAGGGTACTCTTGATAACTCTTCAAGAGCTATCTGGAGATACTCTTTGTAACTTTTCAAGGGCTACTAGGGCACTCTTTGTAACTTTTCAAGGGCTGCCTAGGGCTACTCTTGATAACTTTTCAAGGGCTACCATGGGATACTCTTTGTAACTTTTCAAGAGCTACTAGGGGATGCTCCTTGTAACTTTTCAAGGACTATTCGAAAATACTCTCTGTAGCTTTTCAAGAGCTACCAATGCATGCTCTTTGTAATTTTTCAAGGGTACCTGGACATGGTATCTGCTATCAGTTCGAAGTTAAGAAGACATTATATGTGTTTGTCGGTAGTAATTTAATATGCTACAAATGATCCTGTTGTTGATTCAGATTCTTTGAATAAATGGTCGCTCATATGAACTATGAAGAACTCCGGAAATGTCTTGTAGAGCACTTCATTGGTTTTTAGATGATAAACGTTTGATAGACCTCAGCTGCGTACATCAACTAGCGTTGATGAGAAGGCTAGCTGTATCTAGTCATTGAAATTTTAATAATATTAACAGAATGTCTAAAACATATGTAAAAAGGACTAGATAAGATTTTATTTAGGTTTCAAAAACATCTGCAGACTTATTTGTAACGTGCCAAAGGGAAGACTTCCATTTTTTGCTAGTTTTTTCTCGGCTATAGGTGTAAGGCGTGGCAAAAATGTCGTAGAAGGACAATTAAGTTGTTTCAGGCCGAAGTCATGGAATCGTTGATCAGATCCCTAAAGTATCGAAGAATGTTGCGAAGTAGGCATGCAATAGGATTCGATTCTCGGATATTATTAATATCGTTTACTTGCCAGCAATTTCCCAGTGTTGGATACCATCAGACTCCTTCTTCATGATCTGATGGTATCTATCAATGGAGCCTTGTCAGAGGCGATGAAATCCAATTGTATATAACTATTCGATATTGTCTTTTGTGATTATTAGATGACATGTGTAAGGCTGACACTTTATCTTTATTTTACTTTGAAAAAGTAAAGTAAAGTACGTAACTTTACTTTATCTTTCAGAGTAAAGTATATATACTTTATCCGACAAGTAAAGTAAAGCGGATCTAAATACTTACAATTTAGTATTGATTTTGTAGTCTAAGATCATACTTTGATAATGGCGTAACACCATTGCCAGCGTACGATATTGTGCTAGAAAATTAGCAATTAATTATAAGTGTTGTAGTTCATTTTACTTTACTTTACTTTATTTTACTTTTTGGGAACAGTATATATACTTTGCTCTGCTTTACCGGTAAAGTAAAGTTAGCTAATTGGCTTTACTTGCTCAAACAAATATAAAGTGCCACTCCTAGACGTGCGACATGTATTTGAAATACTTTTTAAGATGATGGGAAGCTGTTTCCCAGTAATATAGGTAGCCAATTGATGGTCCTAAACGACTGTGAACGGCCAGAAAGAGAGCTATACGATTGAATGAAGAGAAAAGATGTTGTTTTTAATATTCGCCGCATGTTATATATGGATTTTAAGAACTCATAGGCTTTAGTTTAACTGATTGCACCACCTGGTTTTCAGTAAATTTTACGTGTTGTTGTCCTAATGGTACAATATATTCATTTGTATGCCATTCAATCGTCTCTTCATGAACCCGATCAGGAAACATGTTATTTCAAATACGACAATTCTTTATGAAATATTGTGTATGATACTTGAGTGGTTCTCAAAAAATGAATACTGTTATAAGGTTAGTGTAGCAGCTGAAAAATTTGCAAAAAAGGTACTCCTGATGGTCCATAAAAAGTTACTGAGGGTAACCCCAGATAGCTCTTGAAAAGTTACCAAGGGTACCCTCAGATAGCCCTTGGAAAGTTACCAAGAGCACCCATACGTAGCCCTTGAAAAGTTACAAAGAGTACCTATAGGAAGCCCTTGAAAAGTTACCAAGCATACCCCCAGAAAGCCCTTGAAAAGTTACCAAGGGTACTCCCAGATAGCCCTTGGAAAGTTGCCAAGGGTACCCATACGTAGCCCTTGAAAAGCTACAAAGAGTACCTATAGGAAGCCCTTGAAAAGTTGGCAAGGGTGCTCCCAGATAGCCCTTGGAAAGTTACCAAGGGTACCCCTAGATAGCCCTTGGAAAGTTACCAAGGGTACCCATACGTAGCCCTTGAAAAGCTACAACGAGTACCTATAGGAAGCCCTTGAAAAGTTGCCAAGGATACCACAGAAAGCTCTTGGAAAGTTACTAAGGGTGGTCCCAGAAAGCCCTTGAAAAGTTACCAAGGTCACCCACAAATAGCCCTTGAAAAGTTACCAAGAGTACCCCTAGGAAGCTCTTGAAAAGTTACCGAACCTACCCCAAGTACGCCTTAAAAAGTTAAAGAAGTATGTCAAGGTAGCAGTCTAGAATTGTTCTGTGTATATGCATTAGCATTAAAAATAATGCTAAATTAATGCTAACGCCTAAGCATTAATTAACGCTAATGCCATTAATGCCAAAGCATTAGCGTTAACTGTTAATGCTAACGCAAAAGCATTAGCATTAGCATTAATTAATGCTAATGCTAATGCTAACGCGACACCCCTAATTTTAACAAATCATCGATCAAAAATCTGATAATACTAATTACGTCCTTATGTGATCATTTTTTTTTAAACAAAAACTATTTCATCTTTCTCTATATATTATATTAGTTTAATTTGTTAAGATTCTAAAGCATCAGATGCGTGGGTGGGGAACTGCAAGTATGTAGTTGTAGCTATTGATATTGATATTTTTCAACATCATACTTAAATTGCATATCGCAACAATTTGTCCGATCACCTGGTTTGTTTTAATTCTATTGATAAAATTTATTCGAAAAATGAATTATTTTTAGTTGATATGTAAAAAGTTTTTTGAACAACAGATTTGAAATTATTTTTAAATCACTAAAAAAAATTAAATATAGATGATTAGAATTGAAATTTGATGCTCTTTCTAAACATATATATATATTCGGAATTTTTTTTTTTTTGTGAATCGAAGTTGTCACAATGAAAGTAAATAATTGAATGAGATCGCAAAATCTATGTCTATATAAAATTTCGCCTTTAGCTTATTTTCATATATTGATTAGAACTATTAAGATTCATGGTCTACAAAATGTTGTATGTACTACTTAATAAGACCGAAATTTATTTCCTTCTGTAATTTATCATTTTGTAGAAAATTAATAAATTAATCTTGAATGAGGGAAAAAAAATTGTTGTGAAACTACATTGAAAATAAGCATCAAATTTCGATAATCATTGATTACTTTTGACTATCTTCAATGCTTGTGGAGTAGTAGAAAAATTGAACGAATATGTTGTTCAAAGATTTCTTTTTTTTTTACATGCATATTTATTAGAACATTATTTTGCGTTTATTTTCAATCGAGGTATATTATCACTTCTATTTCTTCTGATAATATAATAAATTAGAAAAATAATTGCTTCTTACAATATTGGGATGTGTCGAACGAGATAGAATTTATAGTATTTTTCTTCATTCTAATAGCTATCTTCATCGATTTGTTCTATGAATTTTATAAGAAAAAGAAAGATTGCGTGATGAGTTGAATTCTTAATGAAAATAGAACAGATAGTTGAATAAAATAAGAATTGACACATCACTTGAGGTATTCACATAATAACACCTCGAAATGAGTATATTGCTTGATCACGAAGTCTCATTTCTTTTTGTTTCTCGTTCATGTTGAAAAAGAAAAACATGACAAATAGAAATATGTGTGAAAGTCTTAATTAGATATAGAAAAATTAAAAGAAAGGTGTCGTACGGATGCTAAACAAGAAACTTACTTACCTCTTTTTTGTTTTTCGACAGATTTATTAACAAGAATGAAGCACTTCTCTTTTGTGCTTTCGAAAATACTCAGATATTATTATTGAAGATCACGTTCAGTAAATGAGAAATTATATTAGACATGTTTTCTATTTTTTCTTTTCTACAAGAAGAAAAAGAAAAAATATACGTGTTTAGTAGAATGACGAGAAAAAATATCTGGTTATCGTATTATAGTCTTTTTTTTTGTGTTTTTTTCGATATCAATCTTATTGCCACCTAAACATATTTAATATATTTATATGTGCATTTTATTATTATTAGAATAAAAGAAATGAAACTTTTCAT